TACCTAGAATTCCTACTGTAACACGATTATTTAATTTGGATTTGCTTAAAACATCGGTTCGAATAGTTGCCATGCCATACAACACTAAAAATAATTTGGTTAAATTTTTGGAAGCTTTAAAGCTGTAAAATTGAAAATTATTTAAAATTTATATAAAAGAGTTGGGTAATTGGGTCGCTGTTTGAAAAAAAAAAATTGTTAAGCTCTTACAATAGCTGTCATGCCAGAGAACTTCTAAAATATTTTAATTCTTAAATAATGAACGCATTTGATAATACAAATGCTAATCAGACAAAATTTAGGTAAGTTTCAGGAATAATAACGATAACTGTTATCAAATTCTAAAAATAAAACTGTTACTTATACCTGAAAAATATTGAGAAGTATGAAGAGATCTAATTTGACAATTTCAATACCACAATTTCAATAATCGGGCCACAAAAAATGGCAATGATATACTTCTTACAAAACGTTCGTATACATGTACCACAGAGTTGACACAGTCAACTCTATTTTTTTCTTTTTTATATACAAGAAGTATATATATGCATATACTCAGTTTATTGCAATTATGTGTAAATTTTATGTTTGTGTATAAATAGATTTTCAAATTTATTATGCATGTATGAATATGCATATATGTGTGAATTATTCATAAATTAGTAGCATATGAGACTCATGATATGCATCACCTTTTCAACACTTTCATTATAATAAATTTATTTTTTATTTTTATTATTTTATATTTTCTTATATCAAGAGTCTGTTTATGACTTTTCTTCTTCTACATTTTCATAATAATATAGAAGTAGATGAGTATAGAACGTGCTATTGTTTTTACCGGAAAATTTTATTAGTTTTTTTTTTCTTCTTTTTATTTGTTTTTTTATTTTTCATCTTTTTGTATCATCATATGCACATATTTTCATATTTTTTTTTCTTGTTTTAATTTCTTTGCTTGTTTTATATTCTATTTTTAAATAATTTTTATTTTAAAAATGCATTTATATAGTGTAAAGGTCGTCTGTAGTTCAAAAAAAAAAAAAAGGATTTTCTTTCCTTGACTGTTTTTCCATTTCTGCAAAAATGTTTTATGATTGCTGGTATAGAAATAGAATTTATTAAGAAAAGATAATAATTTTTATGAACCTCTGGCCTGATTATAATAAAATAAAATTTATGCATAGAATAAGTATTCTAGGTTTTCAAATAGCAGCAAGGATTATGCAAGAGAATTTTTTTTTATGGATCAATTTAAAAAAATTAATGTACAAGATGTGCTTATGTTAAAATAATTAAAAATATTTTATTGTATTTGTATTGTGTTGAGATACCAACATATCCCAGAATTAATTTCATATCCATTTGGTTAATAAAATTTTAAGTAAATTCAACGTCCTATTTGTGTTGGGAAAATTGTGAAGAAGTTTAATCAGTTGATAGTCAAAAATTTTAAATGACTAAATTTTAAAGCTAATTAAGTCTTGCAAAAAGATAAAAAAAATGCTTTATTAAAAATAAAAATTAACTTTTGCCTATATTTGATCTTCAATAAAATTTCATTATACTTTTATTCGCCATTTTTCATATTTTTTATTTAATAACTTTTCTTTATTTTTATGACCTTCACAAAATCCTCATATAAACAGTGTTGTCTAAAATTATAAAAAAAAATAAGTCCAAGGATAAAGATTTTTCTTCTATATTTGTGAGACGTCGCTTTTACTATTATTTTATCATAAAAATATTGAAAATTACATTATACATATAATATTTTTTTTATAGTAAAAGTATAAAAGTATTTATTATTATAATAAGTATACATAATATGTTTGTATATGTGCACTTTTAAAGGTAAATTATCCAGATAGGCCAGTAAAAGACATTTCTTTTTTAATTTTTTAAAGCTTTGAAGAATCAATAAGCTAACAAAGCTGACAAAGTATGGAATTTCCACCATCATTTAATTTTCTTCTTACTCTCTAAATTCATACTAAAATAAACAAAATATAATTGCATATCATACATGATTATTTTGAATCAATGACCGCTTCAATGTGCTGCCACACTATCATCAAAATTTTTAATTAAAATTCACTCCTCATGTGACACAATGAAAATAAAAAAAATTTTTGCCTTGATTCATTTCTGCGGCTTTTAATACGCCCCTATTTTACTACATCTCTCACAAGATCAAGCAAGGCCATTATTAACACTTTTTGTGTGAATTTTTATATTTCAACTTATTTTTTGGTATCAAATCGAATAAGTAAATTTTTGGACACATTCTACCCTAAAAAACATGAGTTTCACTTTATGAAAATGCTATCGATTTTCAGGAATTTAAAAATGCATGCATATGTATTCGGGCTTTGGTATACTACCGAACGAAATAAAATTCGCCATTTTTTAAATTTTAACACTTTGGGTGCTATTCATATGGTTTCAGAATTTTTTTGTGTTTGTTCTGAAATAGGCACAATTTTTTTAAATTTATAGAAGAAATTTTACAACAAGGTATAAAAAAATTATAAAGTCATCGGAGAAGTTATGCAACGTTGTTGTAGGTTTATTTTCTGCTTTTTTTTCTTTTCTTTTTTTCGAATAAAAATATAAAACGGCTTTTATAAAGAGTATATGAGCGTATGTGCTTTCCTAAAACTTTCAAGCGCTTTAAAACTAAACTTGGTATATAGCTGACATTCTATTTAAAAATTTTAATATTGAAATGAGAAAAAGAGAGAAAAAAAAAACATTGAAAATTCACATTTCCCCCTTATTTTTTTTTTTTATTTTGTTCATTTATATGAAAAGACGACTTTATAATGAGCAGCACTAAAAACAAGGATACGAAAAAAAAATGAATATGTCTAAGAATTTTTCACATATACAGCTTTGTATTTATGCAGCTTACATATGCATGTGAATGTGTTTGTTTATACTAAAATAAAGTGAGAGAAGAAAAAACTTAAAAAAAAAAACTATAGACAAAATAATAGAGCAAGTAGAAGAAAAGTAAAAAAAAAAAAATTAAAAGGGTATGGTATTTTTTGTTTTTTGCTTTTTTTTTATCAGGGAGTTTTTCCTTTTATAGTTTTATTTTAGTTTCTTGTGCATTTTATAAAGAAATTCGAAAAGTTTTTCTCATTTCATTTAAATTTTTTTTTTCTTTTTCTCAATTATGTTTTTCTCATTTATGTATTTTTTCCTTTTTGCAATCCTTGTGTTAATGTAAAACTTGTTTAAGTCTTATTCTAGTTTTTTTTTTTAATTTTTCTACTTTAAAATAGAATTACAAATGTGCATGAATTTATACACAAACAAACATAAGATATTGGAAAATAAGTACAGAAGAAACATTAAAAAAATGAAACAGAAACAAAAGCAAAAACTTTTATCCATTAAAAGAAATGTAACGAAAAATATTTCATGTTGTCAGCACATACTTGAGTTTTGCATAAAATTTGATGAAAGACAGAAAGTAGCATTTACCTAAAGAATCCTGAAAAAGGTAAATTTGGATCCTAGCTTTCCAGTTAATTTCATTAACAATCACCACCAAAATATCAAATTTCATGAAATTACGTCAATTAGTAATTTAGATTATGGTAAAAACTGCGAAAATAGTCCTCTAGTCAAATCTCTTTCCGATTCCTGATATTGCCGAAAAATATATTAGTTCATTTTTTTAATAACCATAAATTTGAAATTATAAATTTCAAGGAAATTGGTTGATTACTTTTTTGTATAGAAGGAAGTTTAATTACATATTCTTGCAGATGAAGAAGCAAATTAATAAAATTTTACATTATTAAAATTTCTTAATGATATTCTTTCTATATATACTAAAATAGAGCTCACTTTACTTGTTAAAATGGTAAAGATTCTGCCTTAAAAAATTATGAAAATCTAACTATAATGTAAAATTATTTAAAACTGATTAAACTGTCATATGTATTACGTACAATAATGAATACTCTTATACATATTCATAAGGAAATTTTTGAAACAAGTTGGCAATTATATTAATTAAGTTGTTCTATATTTATTTTTCGACATTTATCTGACATTTAATAGACATTTTTAAATAAAAATTATTTTTCTGATAATTTAGAATTTTATTACTGTCTTAAAATTAAACAATTTACTTATATAATTAAATAATATAAGGCTATTCAACAATACGTCTGTTAAATACATAAATGTATAAGTCGAAATCCCCATAGTCTTATAAAAGCAAATGCTTGGAAATATCATAAATACTAGAACTAATACAATTATAATGAAATTCACTTACATAAAAATTATTCTTAAAATTCATTTAATGTCAACCTTAAATTACACTTTGGAAATTGTGAACTTATGGAATATCAACTGGCTATAAGTTCAAGTGACATTTTGATATTTTTTTAGTTAGTAGTTGTTAGATTTAATTTTATATTAGTGTATAACTAAATGCAATTATAAAATTTCATAGGAACGTTTGTGCTTCGAAAAGATTTTCACAAACAGCTTCAAAATTTTGTAAAACTAATGTAATCTAATACAATATGAAGGATCACAATTAAACTTCAATTTTTATTTCTCTTATACATTGAATCAATTAATTCATTTTTGACTGAATTTAGTTAATGCATTGTACCAGACTTACTTTGTTTTAAGTATAAACGAAATTATTTCAGTAAGCGAAAAGTTATTTGAGTAAGCGAAAATTTAGCAATTTAATTTAAGAAGACAGTCCTTTGTTCAACAAAACATTTCAAAAGAATATGAGTTTTCGGAGAAAAACAGCTCAACAATTTTCAATTAAATTCTGATTTACATTTCACTGCAATATTTTATTGTTGAAAAATAATTAGAATTTTAGATTCTTAATTTTAATAATTATTATATCTAAGTAAACATATATCAAATCAGTATAATTCTATCTAAGTCTTAAATTAAAAAAAAAAAGAAAATATTTATTTACAAATAAAATATTTTAATATTTTTCTACTTACAATCGTTTCGCAAGTCGGTGCATCGCCTGCAAATGGCAGCCTTGCGCCAGTTTTTGGAACCCCCTTCTACATGAAGGTAGGATCCTAAATCTGATTTAATATTCACAAGAATAATTTTCACTAATAATATTAATTAATTAGAAAATTGAATGTTTTATATTCGGTAGAAAAAAAAAAAACCAAAAACGGCACGGATACAAAAAACAATTTTTTGAATTTTAACAATTTTTTTTTTTTTTGTAGAAATTTTAAAAATTAAAAAAAGATAAAACAATTTTTTTTTTGCACTTGAATTGGTGTGTGATGAACGTTATCCTTTTTGTGACGTAATAATAAATTTTCAATTGATTTTTTCTTTTCTTTTTTTACTTCCTTTAATTTCTAGTCATATATATTAATTAATCTATATTATAGAATTTTATTTATTTTAAAAAAATTTAGACGATTTCAATTTTTTTTTTTTTTGTGTTTTTTTAGGAATTGATTTTTTTTGTTTAGCAAAAAAATTTTATAATATTCTTACGGAATTATATTCAGAGAACACTTTTTCTTTAATTTTGAATTTTGAATAAAAATCTATTTGTTTTTTGGTTTCTTATTTTTTTTTCTTATTTTTATAAATTTATTTTATTAAAACTTTGTATTTTTTTCTTATTTTTTTTAATATTTTGAATTTTTACACACACGACACTCACAACAATATAGGTATTTTATTTTTATTATGTAAAACTAATTGCGATTTTCTTTATTTTACTAAAATTTTAATTTTAATATTTTGTTAGTGTATGAAAAATAATTGCATATTTTTAGGGTAAGTTATTCATTTGCTCTATTATTTTATTAAAAGATTCGTTGTTTTAATTTTATTGTGAATATTTTTTATATTTTTCTCTGCTTATTATAGAAAACCACATAAAATTATTTTTTTGATTGTTTTTGTTTTTTTTTTTGTAATTTGTTCATTTACTGTTTTATTTATTAATTGTTTTTATTTAATATTATTTAGTATTAAAAAAGAAATTAATGGAAATTAGAAAAAAAAATCTTCGAAAAATGTTTTGCTTTATTTTTTATTTTTTGTAAATTTTTCTGAATTCTGAAGAAGAGCTAATTAAATATTAAAAATATAAAAAGAAAAATCTACTTTATTGTTGGCTTTTTTCTTCGTTCAATAATTTTATTTTAATTTATATAGTTTTTTTTTGTTTTGTTTATAAATATAAAACTTGTTTATTAAGTGATAAATTTAGTTTAATTAATTTGTTAATCGTTTATTTTTTCAGTAACATTAATATTGCTGAAATAATTTTAATTTAATAAAATTTTTTTTTTTTTGAAATTTTATTCTGATATTTAAGTGTTTTTTGTTTTTTTTTATAATTAAATTTATTCTTAAAATATATTACCGATTTTATAATTTTAGTGTGAAACTAATAATATGTTTGTGACTTGTTTTAATTAATATTATTCAATTTATTTAATATTCTAATTACTTTTATTTTTTTTTTTAATTGAAAATTATATAAAAATATGCTATTTAGTATAGTTTTTTTTCTGGTTGTTCTTTGTTTTTTTTTTTTATATTATTAATTACTTGTATTATTTTTGTGTGTTGAGAATGTAATTAAAATGTGTTTGAAATTTTTATTAATTTGCAATTCCGTTGTTATAAATTTTTTTATAATATGTGATTTATAATTTAAATATTTTTTTTTGTAATTTAATATTTAATTTTGATATTCATTCATATTGTCTTTTACACTCATAAAATAAATTTTTCTTATTATATAATTTTTAATTTTCGATTAATTTTCAAAATTTTACATAATTTAATTTGTATAAATGTATTATACGTTTAGACAAAAGAAGAAATTATGGAAAAACAAAAAAAATGAAACAATATAAACTTTTTTCCCTTTTTTTTTTTTTTATTAATAATGATTTTATAATTAATAATATTTTAAAATTTCATTTATTAATGGTAATTTAGTTAATTTTGTTAATATTTATTTGATTTATATTAATTTATTTAATTGAATTTCTGTTTTAATTACATACATATGTACGTACGTATATATATATATATGAGCAAATTTTTTCTTTTTCTATATTTGTACAATATTTAAAAAATAATATTTAATCAATTTTTATACAATTCCATTTCTATTAAGTCTTTGAATTTATAATTATTTATTTCTTATATATTTTTATATATACATAATATGTATACATATTAAAATAGTTTATGAGAAAATATTTTAGGAATTCAAAATGTTGTTGTATATTTTATACATATATGATGCTATATGTATGTGTCAATTTTAAAAATTCTATCATTTTATCTTAAGAAATATTAAAATTTGAGTAACCACACTCTTTTAAATATTAAATAATTGTTATACAATAAAATTTATTTTTATTAATAGTGTTATACAATATATTTTAATATTATATTTCAATGTATTATATTATAAGTGTTATACATAAAGATTGTGTACTTGTTTTAATTATTTAATAATTTTTATTTACGATTAAAAATGTTTGTTTTCTCGTTTCATTCCCATTATTTTCCTCTCAATTAGTATAATGATTTTTTTATGGGAATAAAATGAAACATAAAATTTTTTGAGAACTAAAATAGAAGTACTTTTACAATTTCACTATGATTTTAAATTTTATTAATAATTCTGTATTTAGTTTTCTTTTTGTTCAATTTATTTTTGAAGGGTTTGCTTTTTTGTTATACTTGCATTTTTTTTTCACTATAACTTGTTTTTTTTTTTCTTTTTTTTTTATCTGTACAAATATTATTTTATTCGTTTTGTAACTAAATTTTTTAAAAAATTTGTTTAAAACTAATATTTTGTTCTTATTTTGTTTTATTTTTTTTTTTCTTTTTATATTTCACTATGCTTTTCGTTTAATTTTCTGGTTAAATTTATATAGGAAAAATAAAAAAAGAGAATAATGTTTAAGCTATAATTTGTTCATAAAAATTCTGTTTTTCTGTTTCTCTATTGAACATGAAGAAAAAAAAAAGAAAACAAAGAGAATAAATGAGATTAAAAATTATGGGAAATTTTCAAAAAACAAAAAAAAATTTAAAAGTAGTTTCAAGGAGAAATAATGAAGCACTAAGAGTTTGTAATACTTAAAGAGTCAAACGGGGGAAATTTTTTTTAATTTTTTTTTTTTTTTGGTTTAATTTTCGTTATCGTTGGTTTTGTGTAGTTGTTGGAAGAGAAAGTGGAAAACTTTCAAAAGTTTAAATGAAAAAGTTGAAATTTTTGTTTATTTTTTTTTTATAATAGTTTGTTCTTTTTATTTTTTTACTATTTTTAATTTTTCTCTTTGTTGGCTGCTTTCATTGTATTTTTTCGTTTGTTTTCATGTGGTCAAATTATTTATTCAAAATATTTACCACAAATGAAAAAAAAAATAGAAAATTTCACTTTTATTTTAGTTGTCATTCTTTTCTTTTCATTATTTTGCTTATTTTGCTAAGTATGCAATTACAAATTTGTATGTATGCGTGTTTATAGTTATTACACGTGTAAATTCATAAATTTTAACAATACAAAAAAGTTAATATTATGAAGACCAAAAAAAAAAAAATAGAATTATAGAAATTTTTGGCTTTTTTAATTTTTTCTTAGAGAGCCTTTTATTTTGTGCATAAACACTTTAAATTTTTATTCATTATTTTATATAAAAATAAAATTAAAATAAACAAATTTTTGACAAAAAAAATATTTTTTCTTTTTGTATTGAAAAAATTTTTTTAAAGCTTTTATAACTATCAAAAGGAATTCAAAAATTTTCTTTTCTTTTCCTTTATTTTTTTTATATTAAAAAATTTTTTATTGCCAGGAAGGTACCAAGTGAATGAAATAAATTTTGTTTTAATTTTATAATTTCGTTCAATATTTCACTTTTATATTCAATTAATTTTATTTTTTCATTTGTTATTTATTTTATTAATAATAGTTTTTATGTTAAAATTTTATAATGAATAATATTTTTATTAAAATTTATTATTTTCAATTACTTACTTAAATATTATTATTTTTATTATAATAACAATTTTTAATATTGGAGTTACCTGGAAAAAATAATAATATTTTTCTTAATATTTAAGATTTTTTAGCCTAGATTAATTTATTTTTGTACAACCACATTTTTCAAGTAAAAATTGCATGGATGCGGTTGTCAGTTTATCAGGTAATATGAATAAATGCGTTATATTATAAATTTTATGTAGTCATTTCATAACTACTCTTCCTGTTATTATACGTTTAAACTTATATTAAGAAAACATTATGGAAGAATACAGTTTATTGACTTGAGTACAACTTTAGTTATTATAAGTATAGAGTCATGTATAGTCAGTATTGCGGCCACGAATGATACGAAAATTGGTACACATTATGTTTTAACAAAATTAAAAAAATTTTTTGTGAAAAAATTCTCTTTGTCTCGTTCTCTCTCTCCCTCTCTCTCTCTTCAGTAAGATTTTTACGAATGTCATTAAATTTTAAAATGAGATTTTTCTGTACGAAACTACAATTTTTTTAATTTAAGTTTTTAATTATAATTTTTTTTTTAATTTATTATTTTAATTTAATAAAAAAAATTTTTTATTTGTAAAATAAACATGAAATTTTTGCAATATTTTCCTATACAAAACTTGATTATAATACTAAGTTGGCTATTCTTAGTTACTACTGTTATCCTTATATAATAAATTCAAATAGTATAGTTTTTGTTATTAATTATATTATTACAAACATATGTATTTTAACAGAAAATATACATATTGTTATGTAATATTTATCATATATTCATTTATGCCTAATAAATTCATTCCAATTCCTTAATAGAATTTTGTTTTTTCAATAAATTATAATTCTCTTGTATTCTAAAGTTTTTATTGTTTGTATAGTTATTGTGCATGCAGAAAAAAATATCAGGATTCAGGATAACGTTTCGTTTATTTTCACAATACATAAATAATTGATATTTTTAGGTTTTTACTTTGTTTTATAAAAAAAAAAATTCTTTTGTTCAATGAAAAGATATTTTATTGCTGAGTTTAATATTTTTGAAAAAAAAAAAAATATTATTTTTTTTTTGCTGATTTCAAAATGTGCAAAAAGTGGTGGCATAGAAAACATAAACATTATTTTTCTTTGCCTTATTGTTATTGTTTTTATATAATTTTTTTCCTTTACGTCTTTTGTTGTGAAAATATTATTATCCTTTAATATCGATTAATATTTTTGTTTTTATCATATTTCATTCTCTTATTATTAACCCATTTTTTTTTCTATTATTATTAAATATACAAATCTATTTTGATTAAAAACATGCGGTTTACTTAATATTAATCCATTTCGAGATGATTATAAATCAACATTGTATTCATTTTTGATAAAATGTAATCTGAAATAAAAGAAAAGAAAAAATTAAAGAAAACAATAGCATAATCTATATATATACATATTATAATATAAAAACATAATATATATATATATATATAAATTATATTTAAGGATTATTGAAATATTATTGCGAATAAAAAATTTGAATGTAAAATTTTCTTAGATTATTTATATAAAATAATAAATTTTTTGTGTAATAAAATTATTAAATAAATTGAAATACTATAAACAATAGATTTT